CAAATACAAAAATTTAGGGACTGTATTTTACCTTTACTCCCCTAAGTACCATGAGTTAAGCTAAAATACGATCCCTCAACTTTAGTATTTGTACCATTTTGGTCCCTCATCTTTCAAACGAAGCAAATTGGTCCCTCAACCACCCATAACTTACTTTAATTTTCCGGTGGAAAAAAGATGAGTCACCAAAGTTTAAGGACCAAAGTGCCCATGTGGGCACCCATGTGGCAAAAAAAAATTTAAAAAAAGTTTAGGCACCTATCCTAGTTAGCAAAAGTTTAGGGACCATGATTAATTAAATTATTTATTTATTTTTTTTGTCAGTTTTTTTTAAAAGGGAATCTTTTAACTAACATTAAGTTTTTTTTCCCATCAACATTAATATTTTGGTTATGATTTGCATTAATCAAACTATAGAATTTCAAATTTTTTTTTAAAAAAAAACTATAGGATTTTCCACCTTTTCTCACCCTACATCACCAACAACCTGCCACAAACACATAACCCCATTTCCACTCGTCTGCAGCCTCACCACCGTCATTAATCAACCACGCAACCCAAACCTCTGGTTCGGCTGAACTATATTGTGCATGAGCTTGTACAGAATTAATTAAATTACAAAATAAATCAAAGGCTGGGATTAAAAGATGGTGATTGATGATGATCGTTAATGAGGTGCAAAATAGGGGATTCCCTATTAGAGCAGCCAAACCGAAAGAGAAGAAGAGAGGGCCGACCTTTTTTTTTTCTTTTCCTATTTCTTTAATTCGAATTACTTAATTTTTTTGAAAGAAAGTCAAAGTATTTAATTTTTTAAGTCATATTTAATTTTCTTCTTTAATTCTCTAAGTCATATTTTTTTAAAAAAAATAGTCATTTAATTTTTTAAAAAAGCAAAAAATTTGGGTATGTTTTCTATCATTTTAATCAAAGTTTGTACATAATAAATAATAAATATTAATTAGTAGCTGACAAAAAAAAAATGATCTGTAATCCCTAAACAAATGCTAACTACGATAACTTTTGCTTAGTTGGCAGTACACATCCTCAAACTTTGTTGATTCATAAGTTCCTCCACCAGAAATGGTGAGATAAGGGTAGTAGAGGGACCAATTTGCCTCATTTGAAAGATGAGTGAACAAATATGCAACTAATGCCATAGTTAAGGGACTGTATTTTAGGCCCGCGTGCCGCCCGGCACGGCCCGCCGTTCGGAGCAGCCCGGCACGGCCCGAAGTCAAGCACGGCACGGCACGAAGTTCGACTTCCGTGCCACGGACACGGTGGAGAATTCCCAGGCACGGCCCGGCACGAGCACGGGCAAGGCCCGCCGTGCTGGCCCGCAGGCACGCCGCGGGCCAACGGCTAGTTAAACGGCTAGTTTTTTGCCAAAAATTCTATAAATACTCACCTCCATTTCATTCCCAAATCACAAAATCACAATCTCTTCTTCTTATCTCTTATATTCTCTAAATCTCTAATAATCCTTATTTTCTTAAATTCTCTAATTATTCTCTTAAATTCTCTAATTATTTTCCTAATATCGGAAAAAATTAAAAAGTTCGTAATCGTAATTAGTGGAGCGTTGAAGCACGGTTGTAAGATCTAAACTAATCTTAAATTTATTATTGTTTTATTGTTATTATTAGAATAATCTTGTTTAATTATTATTGTTGTTAATTGTTATTGTTGTTGTTATAATTGTTGTTATTAATTATTATTATTGTTACAATTATTGTTATTATTTATTTTTGTTGTTATTGTTATTGTTATAGTTGTTGTTATTAATTATTATTATTGATATTTTTATTGTTAAAATTGTTGTTATTAATTATTATTATTATAGTTAACCACTTTTTATTAAAAAATTAATTGTTAATTATGGCATCGAACAACCCATCATCTAGGTCTAGGGGGAAAGGCCGACTTATCCGTAGTAGTAGTTCTAGGGAACCACCAAATACAACGAGCCCCCAAATTACGAGTCAAACCAATGACCCCATTTACTTCCCCCCGGGCTATGAGCCATATAATACGTCGGGATTTCCAGCACCACCACATAAACCAATTTCCACTACCACCATACCAATTTCCACCTAATTATATCGGTAATCAACAAAACTATTGTTCTAGCCAAGGTAGCCAAGAAAGTACCCGAATTCCCTCCGGTTCTACCCCTTCTACTGCCACTCCCACTAGTCCCCCTACTAACCAATACACACATCATGAATGGTTAACCGAAACTGAGATGCTACTTTTGAAAAACCGAAGGAGTGAGGTATGGCGTTATTTTGTCCTAAGTAAAGATGGTGAACAATGGGCAAAATGTAAAACATGTAATAGTGTATTCACGGCAGTTACCAAAAACGGGACGGGACACTTATCTAGACACATGAAAGCTTGTGCAAAACCAGCTAGTGATCCAACCCAGCCCAAAATTTCCCAATTCCATCCATACGGCTTTACATACAACTATGAGAGGGATAGGGATGAACTAGGAAAAATGATAGTACACGCCGAACAACCTTTTCTTTTCTCGGAAAGTGACGCATTCAACACCTACATTAACAAAGCACTACAACCCCAACATAAAAGAATCTCTAGGAAAACCGTTCGTTCCGCAGCAATGAAAAATTTCCTAGAGTACAAAGTCCGGTTACAAGCCGAATTGAGTAACCTTAACTGTAGAGTATCTTTAACAGCCGATTCTTGGGATAGTGGTTATAAATATCACTATTTATGTGTGACTTGCCATTGGGTAGATGATCAATGGATGTTACAAAAAAGAATAATACATTTCAAAATGATGGAATACCCACACACCGGCATTAACATTGCTCACCATTTAATGCAAGCAATAGACGAATACAACCTTCGAGATAAAATGATGTCTATGACTTTTGATAATGCAACCTCTATGACATACACAGCTAATCTTATCAAACAAAACTTAACCGATGTACTATTAGACGGTGAAGCTCTTCATACTAGATGTGTTTGCCATGTACTTAACTTATGTGTACAGGATGGAGTTCGGGCAATTGGCCCATACTACAGCAAAATCAGAGATGCTATTATGTCTATTAATAGCTCTAACATGAGATACCAAGAATGGAAGAGTTTTCTAAAACAACAAAAGATAAGGGTAATAAAAATTAGAACCGATTGCCCAACTAGGTGGAATTCCACCTATGACATGTTAACAAAGGCAATTGAGTACAAGGGCCCGTTAACATTATTTTACAACCAAAAATTTCCACAAAATGCTTTGTATGATGATGATTGGAATAACTGTGAAAGATATATGCAATTTTTACAGTTATTATATAACATGACGTATTGTTTTTCTACTGTTTACAATCCTTGTGCTCAAAACTTTCTTTCTAATGCATGCTTACTCGCCCAACTTTTCGCTGATCATCGCGATCAAAGTGATTATGATCAGTATCTTCCAGCAATGGAAAAAAAGTGGCGTAAATATTATAGTCAGATTCCTTTGATTTATATTTTTGCTTCCATATTAGATCCTAGGCAAAAGTATGAAAACACATTTATGTTAGTTGACATTTACTTTCAATGCATGTTTCTTGACGATGATGTAGAAAACTATAAGACTAATGTGAAGGATCAGTTTTTTGATTTATATAGAGTCTATGAAGCCAAATATGGCACCGTTCCTCGCTCAGGGCCTTCCCAACCATCTAAAAACGTAAGTAAGAAGGCCAAACATTTATTTTCACAAGCTACTAACTTGATTTCAAGGTTTTCAGGTGATTCATCAATCAGGAGAACGCAAAGCGACGTCTCGGAGTTGCAGATGTACCTGAGTTACGACTTCACCAAAGGCATGGACGACGATGAGATAAACAGCCTCGACCTCCTTGCATGGTGGAAACAACAAAGCTCGAAGCATCCAACTTTGGCGGCAATGGCACGAGACATTCTTGCTATCCAAGTTTCCTCCGTCGCCTCCGAACGAGCTTTCAGCGCATCCGGAAGGGTTTTAGACGATAGAAGAACAAGTCTAAAACCCGAAACACTAGAAATGTGCGTGTGTTTCAAAGATTGGTTGGATGCGGAAAATCGCTCACAAGACCGTTCTTACGACCACAACGACAACGAAGAAGGAACCTCCGCTTCCGGTTCGGGTTCGGCTAGTTCCCAATCTATGCAACTAGCCGATGACCTTGAAGGCGAAGGCGAAGACGAAGACGAAGACGAAGACGAAGACGAGCAAGAAGAAGGAGAAGAAGAATAGACAATTATTGTATATTGTACGATTTTAAAAATATCAATTTTATCATTTTCCAATTTTTGTTTAATACCATCATTGTATGATTTTTATCATTGTTATCATTGTACAATTTTCTCAACTCAAGTAATAATAATATAAAGTACGCATTATTCACATCCAAAGTCCAATTTGCCTTTTTTCCCCGTTTTGTTACAATTTGTAAATTCATATTAAAAAAAAATAAAATTATACCAATTACTAATAAATCATAAACATTAAATTTTAAAGTAATAGTATAAAGTAAATATATAAATATAAATATTGAATATACAAATTATAAAACATAAATATTCAACTTATAATTATAAAATTCATAACTTAATAACTTATAACTTATAAGTTATAAACTTATAAGTTACCTTATAAAACTTATAATTATAATTTTATAACTTATATACATTATAAACTTATTAATTAATAATGTTGTCATTAAAAAAAAAAAAAAAAAAAAAAAAAAAAAAAAAAATGAAAACTGCACCAGCCCGCGCAGGCCAGCCCGCAGCCCGGCACGTGGCCGGCACGGCACGAGCCCGCCAGGCACGAGGGCCGTGCCGTGGGCTGGCCTGTGAAAATGGCCGGCACGGCACGGCACGAAATCCTGGGCCCGCCGGCACGGCACGAACCAGCCCGCGGCCGCCAGGCACGGCCCGCGGCGGCCCGGCACGGCACGGCACGGTGCCCAGGATTATATCTAAGTACCATTTCCCACTACTCCGTACTCCGTAGTAATTAATCCGTAGAACAACCAGCTGAACGAGAAAGCGCTAAGGGCATCCACCCTCCTTTCGCACTATTTTTCCAGGTTTTGACAATTAAATTACGAGTAAACAATTTTGGGTCAATCTCAATTTTACTTCAGAAGTTGAATTGAATCACTCTCTTAGGTATATCTTTTATTCTTTCAATACTTATCTCTTTCTAATTTATTCATTCACATTTACATTGGCAAGCATGAATTAATTTTCAATACAACAACGGCGAATTAATTGATGAAATGGGAATTGTTTCAATTGTATATTATCTTTGCATTTTAGGGAAGAATTTGAATTGAAATTTGATTGTTATTCTTGTTATATTTGCAGATTAAACTGAATTTGTGTGTTGTACAAAAACATGAATATTAGAGGTTGTACTGGTATTGCCAAACCTAGTTTCTTACTAATACAATTCGATTTGCCAACTTTGAGGCTTGGAAAAGTACATTTCCTTCCATTACCATGTAATTCATTATCCAATAAACATGGGTTTAAGGTTAGATTTCAGCACTCGGTTGCTGAAAGATCTTATTCTAGCTCCCGAGCTGCGAAACCGCACTCTGGCCGGGTGAAGAAGAAAGAAGAGGGTGCATCGTCGTTGTATTTACGTCCTAGCTTAAGTGATATGAAGCAGCAGAGAATGGAGAATCGTGCCCAGGTTTATGAGTTTTTGAGGGGGATTGGTGTTGTGCCTGATGAACTTGATGGCTTAGAACTGCCTGTGACGGTTGATGTTATGAGGGAACGCGTGGATTTTCTCCACAAGTTGGGGCTTACGATTGAGGATATTAATAATTATCCGCTTGTTCTTGGGTGCAGTGTGAAGAAGAATATGATTCCGGTGCTAGATTACCTTGGAAAACTAGGTGTTCGAAAATCTAGTGTCACTGAGTTTTTAAGACGGTACCCACAAGTACTTCATGCTAGTGTTGTTGTAGATCTTCAGCCTGTTGTTAAGTATCTGCAAGGAATGGATATTAAACTACTTGATATTCCTCGTGTACTCGAGAGATATCCAGAGCTCTTAGGGTTTAAGCTTGAAGGGACCATGAGCACATCTGTTGCATATTTGGTCGGGATTGGGGTTGGTAGAAGAGAAATTGGTGGGGTTTTGACGAAATACCCTGAAATTTTAGGAATGAGAGTAGGCCGTGTCATCAAACCTTTTGTTGACTATCTTGGAAGTCTAGGCATTCCAAGCTTAGCTGTTGCTCGATTGATTGAGAAAAGGCCTCACATCCTTGGTTTCGACTTAGAAGCGAGGGTAAAACCAAATGTTGGATGTCTTTTAGAATTTAATGTCAGAGAAAAGTCACTTGCTGTAATGATTGCTCAATATCCTGAGATTATTGGGATTGATCTCAAGTCCAAGCTTTCCGCACAACAAACGTCATTCAATTCTATCCTTGATCTTGGTTCTGAGGACTTTGGACAAATCATACAGAGGATGCCACAGGCTATAAGTCTTAGTAAAACAGCAATAGTGAAGCATGTGGATTTTCTCAAACTTTGTGGTTTCACTTTACAACAGATTAAACAGATGGTTGTTGGATATCCACAGTTGCTTGCACTGAATCTGGATATAATGAAGCTGAATTTTGATTACTTTCAATTGGAAATGTCAAGGCCTTTGGATGACTTGGTTGATTTCCCCGCCTTCTTCACATATGGTTTGGAGTCCACAATAAAGTCAAGGCATCAGCAAGTTGCGAAAAAAGGATTGAAATGCTCCCTTTCATGGCTTTTGAATTGTTCAGATGAGAAGTTTGAACGACGAATGAGTTATGAATCAATAGACATGGAGGAGATGGAACCAGAGCCCACATTTGACATGAAATCTTTAATGGGATCTAGAACAGACGAGTCAGATTCTGAGATTGATGATTATGATGATGAAGATGTGTAATGTCTTTATTCAAACCTGTATTTCTCTTTTTCTATGGGGTTGTGAATTATTTTGCTCTCCAACAATTTGGGAATGTCCATATAGATAGTGGTATTCTAATATCTTGAAGGTAAAGTTATTGATCATTACTTTTTTAACTTAAGCATGATGTTTTCTAGTCACAAGTTGATTATAATGCTCAAGCCCCAATTGAAGGGGAGATTCAATGTGCTTACCTATCAATTTGCTTGATTGTGTTACGGATGCTTATATATTTATGCTCTGGGTAGCACACACATCACAGCATTGTGGTAGTTTGAACACTCTAGTGTATTGTTGTGCATATCATAAGGCAAAGTGGCAAACTATTGTTCAGCATTATGTACTGGATATCCCCCAGAAAAAAGTAGGAGCATTCTAATTTAGAATTTGGTGTTGTTTTATTGGGTTGTTGCCTTGTGCTTTTAACTTCATATGCTGGATAGTGTGATTGACAACCTTTTGTTTTGCATTATTTTGTGCTCCTGCCTCTTAGTCCTCTATTTATGTACTCTCAGCCTGCTTTGAGTCAATGGATGTCTTTAGTTGGGGATCAATAACATGTAACCTAAGTAAGAACTCTTTGTCTTTGTCCCTTTAATCCACTTTTAATGTCTTATGTTGTGTGAGGTTAGCCTGTTGGATTTATAGACTTGCTTATGAAAATCATCGTAGTAGATTAATTTTTACATCACTTTTTATTTCGCATGGAATCGACTGTGCTTAGCAAGAAGATGATGTCATTGCATACAATTTTGATTTCTTCCCCTTTCCCCAGAACTTCATCCTTTATAGTTTTCTGATTATGGATTTCTGTTGAGTTGTCATAAGTTAACATTAACCCTACATTCTATGTATCCATTCTAGCTAAAACGTGTCAAAAATCAATGTTTTAATTTCGAAGATGAATGCATTGTGTGGGTCCTTAATATGTTTTTCCCTTCTGTCCTGCTTTTCTTGTCTTATGCATGCAAGCTAAATTCTGCTTCCAACTTCAGTAATCAGAAGTGAGATGGCGTAGAGTGAGGTACTGTTGTTAAGGATGGACAAGTGTTTACTGAATTAGGATTTGTGCTGCCATAGTGCATACAACTTGGCTTGATTGAATTAAACTTTGCCCTCTAGTATTTTTCTATCTCCTTTCAATATTATCTGTCCACATCTCTTTTCTAGCTCCATATTTGTTTCGTATAATATCTACTCGTATGTAATTCACTTCTCTGTTTAAAAAAACAATACAAGATTACATGTCAATTTTGAATGTTATAGTTTTGCCTGACTTATATGTGTGCATAACCTTAAAAGACAATTATTAGGAATGAAAGGAGTATCAAATAAGTGATCACATAGTCTTCCCAAAAAAAAAAAAAAAAAGCATTTATGTTATATTGTTGGTGGTCCTCTTCTTTCATTTATGTGCAGAATTTGTTAGCAATCAATGTATTGACGAAATGAGTTTTGGTTAAATTGTCATGTTTAAGCAGCTGAACGTTGATCTTTTATTCTAATGTGGGAAGTAAATCCAAAATGCAGCTCATGGAATGTGGAAAAAGATCTCAATTATACCTCAGGTTAGTCGGCTTAATTTGTGGATTCAATATTGATTCTCCTGTTTACACATTTTAATAATGCTTTTATACTTTAACTAGCATAGTGCCGGTGCAATGCACGGTTTACAAATCAACATATTAATTTATAATTTTACTTAATGATACATTGATAAATTAGGAAATCAACAAATTCTACTCATATTAATTTATAATTTTACTTACTGATACATTGATAAATTAGGAAATCAACAAATTCTACACATATTAATTTATAATTTTACTTAATGATACATTGATAAATTAGGAAATCAACAAATTCTGCACATATTAATTTATAATTTTACTTAATCAATCAAATCAACAAATTAAACATTCATCATTGTATACACACACAAATAAAGACTCACAATAATGATCAATTGATAAATTAGGAAATAACAATGTAAATACTACGTTTCCGTATATACAAACATTCATCGTTATAGTAATATTTTACGATCCCGTAAAAAATAAAATATAATTTTAAGTTATTCTCATTTCTAATTTATTTTTTAATTTTTCCAAATTGTGGGTTTTAATCCAGTGGAAGAGTCAAATTACTCTCTCCGTGTTTTTTTAAGTGTTACAGTTTGACCGGCACATAGTTTTAGAAAAATTGTAAAAGAAAGGTAGTAGGGTTAATAGTTTATTGAAAAGTAATGAATGTGAGAGGAAAGATATACTACCTCCGTTACATATTATTTGCAACGATTAGACATTTTTCCTCTCTACTTTATGTCAAATCGTTGCAAATAACATGTAACGGAGGTATAATAAAAAAGTAGTAAAGGGTTTGGGTGGGGACCATGAGAAGAGAGAGATATAATATTTTAATGTAGTTTTTTGCCAAAAAAAAAAGGAAGTGTAACACTTAAAAAAACACGGCCGGAAATGGAAAGTGTAACACTTAAAAAAATACGGAGGGAGTAATAATAAACATCATGATAATTTTTTTTTGTTTCCCCTATGAATTAAGGTTTTATGTAGGTTTTACTTATAACAAAAAACTTAAGTTTGAAACTAACTCTATTTTTTTATTAGCTGCAACTAAGAAATTTTTTATATCTCATAAATAATACTCCATTGTTACAACTTGCAAGCAAAAGAAGCGAGGGTAATATTAAAAAACAAATATGTTGAACATTAGTATGATTCATATAAATTTTAGAATATGTTCACTCAAGTACCTAGCCAACCCTAGTACATGCTACTCATCATGTCTTTTTTTTTTTCCACTAGAATTTCTATTTTTAGACCCCGCATGATACCCGTTTTGCATTACCTCGGGAATGACAATGAACATACACATATATATATAGTGGAAGAGTCAAATTAATTATAAACACCCTAATAAACATTTTTTGTCCTATGATCAAGGCTTTAATAGGCTTTACTGTACACAAAAATTTAAGTTTAACTTTTAAAAACTAATACTAACTCCGTTTTTTATTAGTTGCAACTAAGAAATATTTTTATATCCCATAAATTATATTTCTTTGTTGCAAGTAATAAGAAGTAGGGATAGTATTTTTTAAAAAATATGTTGAACATTAGTATGTTCATATAAATTTTAGAATAGGTTCACTCAAATACAACCCTAGTACATGGTACTACCTGTCATTATGTCTATTTGTTCAAAAAAATTTCATTTTTTGACTCCGGATAATATCTGTTATGCATTAGCCTGGAAACAACGCTAAAATAAACTAAAAAAACGAAGATAATGAAATAGAGTAATTATTAATTAAAAAGTAAAAGTGAAAAAGGTAAAAGATTGCAGAACATGAATAAGTGTAGTATAATTAAGAAAAAGATTACATATAATGGCAAAGTTGATGGCAAATATTATTATTCCAAAATTAATTATATATACTATGAAAAAAGTACTATGTATTATAGTTATAATAAAATTATATATATAGGTTATATTTGAATCAATCATTTCAAAAAATTGTAATCATATTAGCATAAATTCATTAAATATAAGTTGCCATAAATTAACTTATTTCCAAATAGGTTTAGATTATATCAAATTTTATTAACAAAATTCTGAATCAAAATGATTTATACAATAAATTTTAACCAAAATTATTGTTCTAAGGGTTCTTTAACTTTTTATTTATTTATTTTTTTTTTTTTTTTAACATTATAAGACAAGTAAATCATAAAGTGACATGTGTGAACCTCACATTGATTTGCTTGTCTGTTAGTATAATATATTGATTGATTGATGATTCTTGTAGTTGATTGCTTAGGTTTGAGTTCTATTTATTGTTTGTTTTCTTATCCAAATGCTTTACAATATTTAGATGGTTGTTGTTGTCGTCATGACAATTTTCTGTTTATAATACCTAAATGTCTTGCAAGAATTGAGGTTTAGGTTGGTGGGAGGAAAGAGAAAGATGAGGGGAAGAGAGGGGGGGGGGGTGATGATTTGATATTTTCACAAGGTGATTGCCTTAATTGACTAAAAGTTCAGAAAAAAACGGTTGGCATATGACATGAAGTGTCTTTTATTACATTGGATACTGAATGAAACTTTTGATAGATGAAAGGAAATTCTGGTGTAATGTGTACTGTAATAGCTTGCTAACTCATGAGTCATATGAGCATGTTGACAGGATACACAACACCGTTGAAAATTAGCAACCTATAGTGTCTGCTTGTTAACATTGTATCTCCACTCGAATATTTTTGCCATTCAGATGAGTTTTGACCAAATAGCAGAATCACATAATCTAGGCATGAGTACAATTCCGCTGTTTATCCCAAATTAAACTCCATAGGTAGGCAGAAGTGTAGAAAGTGTATGGTAGTGTCAAACCTTTGATACCCTCCTATACAATTACCTGTAAGGAAAGCTGAATATCTATAACTACTTCAATCTTAGTGTCCCACTTATATGATCTGGAATACTTCAACCTCAATTCGTGGGCAACCTAATTTGCGAGCTCCTAAATTAGCTGCAATAAAAACTTGAGCGAATGGAAGATCCTTGATTCTAATGTTGAAGAAAACAAATTTTGTAGTTGCATAAACTTTTACTGGGTTCTCAATAATTATAAATTATGGCCATTGTACCCAAGAAATATGGTTGATAGCCTCTAAAAACCAACTACTACTTAGCTGTTAATGTACTGAAAGTTATGATGAAGAAGATAACTGTAGTACACTCATGGCCATCCTGATTTCTGAATAAACAGGTCCAATCTTTGTCTTGGATCTATTTTATGGAAGGAGTCGAAGCATCAGCCTTGTAGTCCCATTTTGTGGATGCAGAATCACAATGACGAAAGAGATGATCTATAGCTAGGTTCACTAACCTCCATATTCCTAGACCATAATTTATCAATAAATGGATTCTGATAACAGAACTTTTACATATATGTTCAATTTCAGCAGAACATTCGCTTGCGCATGAAATCCCGAGTCAAAGAGTACTTCTAAAAACTTAAAAGATTAGTATATTAAGTGGATCCAATTCAAAGGAAAAAGGAATAGATTTTTGTGGGCCGAGTATTAAAGAGATATAAGAAGTTTTTTGTGGGATGAGCATTAAAGAGATGTAAGAAGTTTTTTATGGGATGGAAGGATTAAATCAAAGACCCCAATTGGTTTTCCTGAGTGAAAGGTTTTGTAGTGACACAAGTGATACATGAGTAGATACTTTTTAGTTTGGAGAAGGTAGAAAATCATCCAGTCTCAATAGGATTATCAGAGTGTGTTTTGTGTTTGGATTGAAGGGATTGATATGAGTTGGAATCTGCTCTTGTGATAAAAATATGCTTTTCAGATAATGTGTAACCTGGTTCTGGTCCTGATTTTTCACATGAAATCTATATCATATCAGTGACTGATCAATGTCTCTGCATCAAGTTCCTATACCCTGTTTCACAAAGTATCAGGAAAGAATTCTAAGATAATTGAAAAAAGAGAGATTGGAGTAGCTGATTCGATAGTTATATCTTCCTGTGGTTATACCCTATATGATTTATTGTCTGGGGAGAGGGGTGACTAATTATACCCTTAGTCAATCTTTTTTCTAAGGACCGCTTCCTTAGCTTAGTGCAGTAACTGATTACTATATTTCACTTCATTATTGTTTTACTTATCGCTACTGTTCCATGATATCTCTCTTCTAATGATGATGTTTTTCATCTATCAGTTTGTTTAGGGAAGGGCTGCACTTGGTGGTTCTGCTCAACAATCAGCGCAGTACTCTGATGGCAGCATTCTTGCCTTTGGGTTTAAGTTCTTGATTTTTCCCAGCATTCTCTGTTTGGTTTGTACTTTAGTAATTGTATTTTTTATTTTTTTTGTTATTTTGAGTAGCTTGTACATGTTTCCACGCATCTTGTTGTGTACAAGAGCTGTAATTATCGACCACATTGATGTTTGTTATCAAGTGGCAAGATTCCTGCATCTCAATTAAATATTGCTTTCTTATCCAAAATTTGACTCTTTTTTGAGTTTTGTATGTTATCCTTTTGTTTTGAAAAGACAAAAATTGGACTGTCCACCTTGCCCTATTGTAAATCAGGCATCCCTTAATTCATAAAACACGCGTTCCTGAATATCCCAAATAATGTAGGGTTAAATTTAATGAACACAGTCCTTAAAGGGTTAAAGCAAACGAACATGAACTCATAAGAGTATGTTTATTCAAGTACAAAAAACTTGTAACTTGTTGTTTACATAAAATCTTGAATAAGGTTGACTTTTATTAAAACTAGTTTTGTGCCCCGTGCAATGCCCGAGTTATTTATTGAATTTTAAGATAAATTTACAATCTATATGTAAAAATTTAGAATATATCATTGATACAAAATTAGTTAGGAATTGATGTGCTTTTTTTGATGATTTGCTATCTAGTATGCATGTAATGACTAATAATAATGTTGGTGAAAATATTCGCTTTAATACATTAAAAAAAAAATAAAAAAAATAGCAAAAAATAAACTAAATAAATTTAAATGTTCAAAGCACGTTGGATTGACTTGAATCCAAAATTTGGGTAAGGGTTGAACATTTCTTGACTCATAACCTAAAGTGACCCAATCCGAGATGTTTCATGACCTAACCTTATTTGCTAGTTATCCATTCTATTAGATTGTGAAGTATATAATTTTAACCAATAAGTATATATTATAAATGGATGTTTTACGCTTTGAACTACTTTCTTTGCTCCAAAAAAATTATGATACAAAAAATAAATTTGTATGATAATTTTTTAGAATTATAATCTAATAATTTTTTTTGAGTAAAATTATTATTCAATTTGTACATTTGAAATATTGGTATTTTATCGATATTAAAACCCTAAAATAACAATTTTATCCTAAAATTCTATCCAAATGGAATTCTTAACTAACTTTTTTATCTTAGGAAGTCTATTTAAATCTACCAACGTGGCGCAACATTTGGCGAAAAGTTGGAACGCCAAGTGCCGCAATGCCGTGATATGGCTAAAAGTTTAGCTTTATATATTAGTTATATGATAAAACGAGTTAAAGTTATCATAAAAATATTGAAAGTTACAATTATATTATTGTAAAAAAATTTTAAATTTATGTCAAATTTACCGTCTTTTAATAAAATAATAATTAAATATGGAGTCTATCTCATTCAAATTTACTGTATTATTTAAATTCGAAGAATTTTTTTAAGGAAAAATTATCAAAAATAATACAAACTTTGAGCGATCCACTAAAAACAAGTCAAACTTTTAATTATTTCTAAATAATACAAACTTTAAGGGATATCTACTTTAAACAAGTTATTTTACCTACAACTTATTTAACCGGTTATTTTTTTTATTTATCTTATAAAGTTGTTTAATAGTTTATAAAAAAATAATACAATGTCACGGGTTTCATATAACCTATTCATGAGGTAACTAATCGGCTTTAACTTGTTTAACGCGGGTACCCTCAAAGTTTGTATTATTAAAAAATAATTAAAAATTTGACTTGTTTTTGACGGATTGCTCAAAGTTTGTATTATTTTTGACAATTTTTCTTTTTTTAATTTACAAACTTCAAAGACCTAAACCCAAAAAACTTGTATACCTCAAATACAAATAACATGTTTGATTGTTTTATGAATAGTGTTGAGAAAATTATTTAAAATTATTTAAAGATTTTTTTTAATGCTTATTTCAAGTTTGTATTTTCCCTATTTACCCTCTCACTTGGATAAACTCAAATATACATCAACACATCACAAACAAACTTAACAAACTTATATATTTTTTTTTCTTTTTATATTCTATTTTAATTTATTTATTACTTCTGAAGTTCTGAGGGAAGTATCATTTCCTACTAAAACCTGCATTCGAGTTAAAGAATTCTCCAATGGCGGCACACCAAAACTATCAATTTATCACTTAAATTCTTCATTTATTAAACCTTAAATTTGGAAAAGAAATTAGGTATTAATTAATTTGATTGATAATTGTATGAGCATAATTAATTTTGTATAAATTAGATAAGATGGATTATGCAGGAAATTGGTTTAAATGTTTGATTAGAAGAAAACAAGTTGATTCTGTTCATCACAATTCTTCTTCTTCTACAAGTGGCCAACCAACGCTTGCTAGAGCCTTATCTGTTCCTCATATCACCGCCATTGGTAATATTCTTTCTTATTTATTTATCTATTTATTTATATTTAGAATTTGCTAAATGTATTTTAATTTCGATTGCGTTTTATTTTACTGGGTTTATTTTGCTGTGATTTTTGATGAAGTATCAATTGGTTGATCAGGTTGTTAATAGTTGTTATTATTATAAGAGCAGATTCTTTCCAATTAATTTATTTTAAATTTTGATTCAGATTAGCAAAGTTTTGTGTAGTGCAATAATGTAGTTTATTATACTTCGTATATAAGAACCAATTGGTCTTGTATGGACCCGGTCTACAATAAATAAAACTAGCCTTGTGGCCCGTACAGTGCACGGCTTGTTTATAGAAAATTGCATTGAGAGATGAGTGAGGAAATACCAATAAATAATTATGAGTGTAATATGTAATTGAAAACATAATTAAAGAAATAAAAATTTTGGAACTTGAATTTAAAATGAGACTTAATAGAAAGAAGATGGAGGGACTAAAATCAAAGAGAGAAAATAAAAAGGTTGAATTAAAGAGGGGAGATGAAGATAAAGTGTTTAATGAAAGAGTTAAGAAGAATTGTATTTATGTGGAGAGCCTGCCAGAATGCTATTCCTACAAGGAAAGGCATTAGCTCTCGGGTTCCTAATTATGATCCTACTTGTTATGTGTGCCATCAAGATGAGGAGACAGTGCTTCATGCTATAAAAGAGTGTACCCTTGCTCGTGATGTCTGGCTTCGTAGTAATTTCAGTTATGTGCAGGATTTAAATTTTAGAAGTGATGGATTGGTGGGATATTGCTTGAAGGAGTTGGATGAGGTTGAGGTCGAGAATGTGGTGACTCTTTGTTGGGCGATCTGGGGTGCTAGAAACACCTATGTTATGGAAGGAGCTCAACCTAATCCTGCTGAAATTGTGGCATATGCAAGCAAAGTGTGTGGGGAGGTGAGGTGTGAAAGGTCCAAAGGGGGAAGGAGTGATCTGCAGGCTGCTACCCAGCACCCTGTTGCTTGGGTGAAGCCTTCTGAGGGGTGGGTTAAAGTGAATGTTGATGCCGGGCTTTTGGTTAATGCTGGTTCTGGATTGGGGGCTGTTATTAGAGGCTGCTTGGGGGAGGTTTTGGGCTGTGCAGTTCATCAGTGTAAAGAGAGATGGGAGACTAAAGTGGCAGAGGCTAAAGCAGTCTGGTTTGGTCTGAAATTTGCTGCAGGGAGGGGTTGTTCTAAGGTAATTATCGAGAGCGATTGCTTGATGGTTGTCCAGGCTTTGCGTGGTACAGGAGGAGGTCGAAGCTCTTTCCATCTTCTCATTGAAGATATTCTTGATCTATGTTCTAGCTTTGATGATTTTGTTTTTTCTTTTGTTAAACGTAGTGGTAATAAAGTCGCCCATGCTTTAGCTCACTTCCAACCACGGGATTTGGGTGATAGACGGTGGACTATTGATGTACCTAGCAATATTATTGATGTTGCTTTGAGTGATCTGGTAATATAGTTTCTTCCCTTGTGGGAGTTCTTCAAAAAAAAAAAAAAAAAAGAAGAATTGTATAATTAAAAATAAAAAATATAAAACGACATGTGGCATTTGAAGAAGATGATAGAGAAGTGTAATAGAATGATGACATATGTCTTTTTTGGTTTGCTTTTTTAAATACTAAGTATAGATTTGATAATATAGTGATATAATCACTTTTTTAGACGATATAATTTTTTTTTTTAAGTCATATTTTGAATTATATAATCTCATATTAAACCATTTAATGAGATTATATAATTATCTTTAGGATGATAAAATTTAAAATCATCTTTTGAATGATGTTATTTACTATTTGATACTTTTTATAATGATAAATTCACTTTTTGAGTGATACATTTACATAACAGTTTCAAGATGATATAATCACTTTTGTAGTAATATAATTACATTTCGTATGATATAATCATATTCGTATGGTATACTAGAAGGTTAGGTCTACATAAGTTATTGTAGACCGGGTCTATTCTAGTCTTTACCTATAAGCACATTAACTTATCAACCTAGTTTTTGCCTTTTTGGGATATTCTAAACTTTCTCGGTTTCTTCTAACTTAGTTAACATGTTTGAAATTGAACAATCATAATCATGTGGGGTCTTATACTTTTATTAGACTCGTGTCAATGTATATATTTACAACGTATAATTTTGGCCATTGCTATGTGATAAAATGAAGATACAGTATTAGGTTTGAAATCATGCATTGACAACTATCCCTAAAGAAATCATGTCGACTAAAATAAAGGGAGGAAGTATCTATTAAACATTTAAACCATTAACTTTCTGGAAAATCTTACCAATTTTATCCACATTGTGTTATTAAACATTTGGCATTAATTGTATGGGGTCGCATTATTTTCACTAATCATGACCAAGTTACTCGAATTTGAAAAGATTGTTTTTCTGTTTTGATTCAAGGCTGAATTTTGCTATTTTACTTAAAATTATGCCTGAACTCAAATAATGTCTTATGGCTTGTTTGGCATCGTTTTTCATTTTTAGTTATTTGATTTTTTGAAAACAAAAACCAAAAACAGGATACAAGTATAAGGTGTTTTCAATTATCGTCCATTAGTTTTCAAAATTATCATGATTTTAAATATTTAATAAGTTTGACCACTTCTTAATTCATTATATGACAAATATCATATTTTTCTTAAAACAAAAAAACCATTAAATAGGAAACCACAATGATACTAAATAGACCCTTAGCAATTGATTATGAGTTCAGTTACAATACTAATTTGTTCATTTATCAAATATGTCAGTAGGGTCAGGTTTAAGTGGAATAACTTCAGACGAGGTCATTTTAGTCGGATGATTTCAGGTTTGGGTCAAGCAATGCTTGTTTTCAAGACTTTGGACGTCCTACTGTTTCGAAATAGCAAGTCATGATAAGCAGTCATTTATAGCCAATTCTAACCATATGGTATTACAAATGATGTTTTACTGTTTAAGTCCAATAAAAATCATGCTTAATCCAGTGATAATGAAGGATGAATATTTTAATTTTTTGTTTTTTCATGCTGAAATGTTCTCATAAGTTTCACTTCATTGCATTGAATTTAATTGTTTTGGATCACAAACTGTTTTGGGATGTATGGGTCTGGAACTTTGGATACATTTGGGTTTAAGTTGCCAAGTTATAGTCAATACCGAATCTTGGTGGTGTGACGATTTTTGACAGGTTTATTTAATATTTATTTGGCCAAGTTTCATATACTCATATTTTATTGATAGTTCGGAATATTGGGTTCTATACTGATACTCAAAGCTTGAGTAAATTAGACATTGCAATCATTTATCATCAGCACCATATTATAGCTTAAAATTGCATGATCTGTTGGTTTATTGTGCTTGTATCCAACTCATCTTCATATATTTCTGTATGTCAATGGTATACTAGATATATGGGAGCACTTTATTGTGTATTTATTTCTGTTAACTAATTTATTGGATACTCAGGAATTGGCACAACCATAGGAGCTGGAGTTTATATACTTATTGGTACAGTTGCCAGAGAGAATACTGGACCAGCCCTGACTCTATCCTTTCTATTTGCTGGTATAGCTGCTGCACTCTCTGCATTTTGTTATGCAGAGCTCGCCAGTCGGTGTCCTTCTGCTGGCAGCGCCTATCATTACTCTTATGTATGTGTTGGAGAAGGGTTAGTCTCTCAATATTATGTGCTCCTTGGGCAGTATGTTAGTGTTTACTTCATTTGTTTTTTCAGTGCGTTTGTTTTGATACAACTTCAAAGGAGGATGGTAGATCTCTTACAAGTAATTCAAATTTAAATTTTTAAAATAGTAATCTAGTCTTAACTAACTACTATACTGTGTCAGCAATTAATTTCTTATGCTATTATTGACACTATAACTTTCATCAACCACGTGCAGGGTTGCATGGTTGATTGGCTGGGCTTTGATGCTAGAGTATACAATTGGGGGAGCTGCAATCGCCCGTGGCATATCTCCAAATCTGGTGAAGTACTCAGGAATCTTCTTGTCATGTTCACCGATCTCTTTGATCTTGCTGCCAGATTTCTTTTCTTTCTTTCTTTTTTTTTTATTTTTGCAACTTTTTTCCTCCATACTTCTTGTTCAAGTAACACACACATTATTACTTTAATGCTTTTGGTTGCTTTAATGTTATGGTTTGCATTTAGATTGGTAAGTATCGGAAATGAATAATGATTCTTATTCTCTTCGAAAGAATACTTAGAAGGGGTAAACAAAATTCTGTCTCTCTTCAGTTTCTTTTTTATATTTCATAAAATATGACAACGACAAACGACACTTTCTGCACCCTCAATATGCTGTAGATTTGCTTCATTGTGCTCCTTCTAATCTTCTACAGCCCCATTATGCTTTGATCTCCTTGATCTGTAGTAGCTTGAATATCTATATGGGTGGTTCAAACAGTCAATGTTTCATTTATGGGAGCTAAATAAAGTTCCTTTGCTTAATTTATGCATTCTGTACTTTCAAATGGCTGTTACTCATTGGTTATTGGCCTTTTTTGTATCAGGTCTTGCTCCTTGGCAGCAGTGATAGGCTACCTTCTTATCTGAGTCGTCAATATATTCTTGCTCTTGATGTTGTTGTTGACCCTTGTGCAGCAATTCTCATAATTATTGCCACCGTGCTGTTGTGTTTTGGTATTAAAGAGGTACTGCTTTTCGTTGTTCCATATCCTTTTAACTTTAAAAAAGCACTTTTCATTTCGTCTTTGTTGAGGTTTCACCATATCTTTTTTAATCAACTGGATCACTTGATGTTGTAGAGTGCATTTGCACAAGCTGTTGTGACATCGGCAAATGTCTGTGCTATGCTTTTTATTATAATTGCTGGGGGATACTTAGGTTTCAAAACTGGATGGGTTGGCTATGACCTCCCCAAAGGGTAATGATCTTGGACCATGGTTTGCATATTGGGATGATTGTAAATTCCTTTGTGATAGTAAATTAGTAAGTCCGTTGATTGTTTCATTTTTTTCTATATCTAGGTACTTTCCTTTTGGCATAAATGGAGTGCTTTCTGGCTCTGCCACTGTATTCTTCTCTTATATTGGTTTTGATGCTGTTGCTAGTGCTGCTGAGGAGGTATATGTTATTCATATCTGACCAATTATTCTGTTTGAAGTTAGTCATTGACTTGATTCTACTCCCATTTTGATGAATTTCTATTCACTTTTAGCTTTCACCTTGTAGGTGAAGAATCCAAAGCGAGATCTACCGTTGGGTATAGCCTTTTCATTGTTAATATGCTGTGCATTGTACATGCTGGTTTCTGTCGTTGTTGTTGGTCTGATACCATATTATGAACTTGACCCGGACACTCCTATTTCCTCTGCGTTTTCTAGTCAAGGGATGCAATGGGCAGCGTAAGCTATCATTACCCGTTCAATGCATGTTTACTTATTGTGCTATTTTTGGGAAATCTCTGTTTCATTTTAGTTGACTTTGGATTGAATGCATTTATAAGTTTTATATGGATTTATGTAAAGGTATATAATCACGATTGGAGCATCAACAGCTCTCTTTGCGTCTCTGTTGGGTTCATTTCTTCCACAGGTAAAGTTATATGATAAATCATAGAAAATTGTTCTAGTCAAATTCAATGAGCTGAAGAGATGATGCTCTTGTTGTTACTCCAATCATTATTTTTTGATTTATTTATATTAATTTAATTCAATTATTAAGCTGTTTTCCTTTTTCAGGGAGGGGAGAGGGGGGGAGGGGGGGGGGGGGGAGGGGGGAGAATCATAATTAGCTGTAGATTTTCATTTTGATTCTTTTGCTATATCTTGCAGACCTTAATCGTATGATAAATTATCAATTGTTTAAAAATAATGCATGCTCCAAAGAAGTTTATCTTGTTTGCATTTTGCAATAGAAATCCTGTTCAAAATAAAATGTTCAATTCAGAAACTTAGTTAAATACATCATAGATATTAAAAAAGAGAAGGAAATTGGTATGTTGTCTAGAATAACCCTGAATATTGACATTTTTTACCCTGAACATAGCTTTCATATATTAGGATCAACCAATGTGACATGGTCACTCTTTTGAAATGTAAATAATAAAATTAAAAAAATAAAATTGAATGGTGATGGTTTGGAGAAATAGCTAATGAGGAAGAGGTTTGAGGAAGTCAGAGAAAGAGAGAGAGATAACGGGAGAGATAGCTGACATTACACTGTCATTATCATCAAGGTTATTTTAGACTTAGAACATTATCCAATAGGCCAGGCTATCATGGATGATTTACATGTGAGAGGTATTTAAAATAACACTATTTCACCACGTTACTTTACATTTTTTTCGAAAAATCTACAGTTTTTTTTTTACTAATTGCTATAACTCAAATGTAGGTTATCTCCTAGATAATGTATAAATTGCTAATGTATTAGTGTGGTGTATTCTCTTTAAATAAAGAGGCTTTCAGGTAATTTCTAATTACCACAAGTAGTTGAAAAAAATGTCACAGGAATTTTTAGGCTCGGTGCGTAAAAATAGTTTACATCTTTAACTTTAAGACTCATTTAAGTCAATGTTGCGGCAATTGCACAACAAGAATTGTTGGTGATATCAGTAACTACTCCCTCCGTTCTTTTATGTTCTACTCAGTTACTATAAATACGTAATTTAAGTAAATTTTGAAGAATGTTAGTGGGTGTAAGATAAAGTGAATTAAAGTAAGAGAGAGAATATGAAAAGGTGGGTTTGTGTAAGAAAAAGGTAAATAAAGTAAAAGAGACTATGGAAAGATGTAATTATTTGGTGGTGAAAGGGGTAAGATAGTAAAAGTATTATACCAAACATAGAATAAAGTGAGTAGAACACAAAAGAATGACCTAAAATGGATAGTGAATAGAACCAAAAAGAACAAAAGGAGTACTAAAGTCTTAAACTATTACGATTATTTAATTATTGATCAGCTCATCAGATTGCTGTACCTAGGTTGATTGATGTGACTATAAAACGCTTCAAAATTATCGCATTTAAGTAGATGCTGGAAATTCAAGAGAAATGGCTACTCCCTTTGTCCCTAATTATTTTCCCCTTTGACTTTTCATGGTCCCCAAGGTTTTCCTTAAAACATATATATCTCCAACTTTATATGCGCGAAAATTACAAATATTTGGTGTTCTTAAAATAGATGTTTGTAACGATTTTGACAAGATATCATTTGACTATATTATTTCTTATAGATTAATGAGGATTTATGTTCAAAATTTTCAAACTTTTGATCCCAAAAATACAATGGGGCAAAAAAAGGGGGATGGCTATTCTTTTCTATTCAATGTTCTGCAGTAGAGTCTCTTCAGTTCAGGCTACTTATAAGCTAGTTTGAATATTTAGTAAAATTAGCTGTGAATGGAGATATCCTTTTCGCTTGACTTACATATTAACATATATTTTGATTTTTCTTTTCTAAAGCCTCGAGTCCTCATGGCGATGGCTAGAGATGGCTTACTACCCTCATTTTTCTCAGACATTAATCCACATACACAAGTTCCTGTGAAGGGTACAATTGTAACTGGAGCGTTTGCTGCAATATTGGCATTCTTCATGGATGTTTCGCAGCTGGCAGGAATGGTATAATTTACAGCTTTCTATATCAGCTTAGCAGATGTTTATAGGTAGAATAATCAATTTTTCCCCCTTTTCACATGTTTATTTACTACCTCCGTTTCATATTATTTGCAACAAGTAGACATTTTTCCTCTCTTCTTTATGTCAAATCGTTGCAAATAATATGAAACGGAGGTAGTAATTGATTTCCTTAATGATGTTTTAATTCCCAAAATATTACAACTTGAAAGATTTCATTTAGCGCAAGAGTGAGATGGTAAAATGATAAATGATAAAACTCATTCTTTACTTTTCAGTATGTTCACATCTGGTGATTTTAAATCTTAATGATACTTATGTAGTTGTGTTGCTATAGCTGTTATTTTCTGTCCAATTTTGTATGATGATTTTTAGTGGATAAGGTGACAAATATGTACAATATCTATTGAGGTTATAGCCTCTTGCTTGAAAACAAATATGTTTCTTGGTGTTCACTTAACTCGCAAATATGCTCTAATAGATGGAATAGGGGACGTTGAACCTATAAATTTCCAAGAAGGGCATGTAGAAGCTGACATAGTCATCACATCCCACTGTGAGATTGAACACGCTATAACGTACTGCCGTCTCCTCTTTTCCCTCAGACTATGAGTTCCTTAGAAATATACTCTTCCTAATGGAAAGAAAGAAATAAATGCATAAGGAGGGTGGATAGTAGAGTTGTTTAGGCATTTAAGTTGGGCCTAAAGATGCATATTTCTTTTGCAGATATTTTAAAAAAAATAAAATAAAAAATACTAAAGTCTTTATTTCCTGGTTTAGAGACCAAACCCAGGGTTGCTTTCAATTCAATGTCGATAATAGTTTTCCTTTTTCTTTTTTAGTGCAATTTCTCCCACTCTCATAGCAGAAAGGTAGGGGCACTCCTTTTTTCGCTTTCCAACTTCCCTAACCATACCAAAATACTATACCAATGCAGATCATAATTAGATTGGTTGCTACTTTGCTTGTAATTTATTATGTTTGTTTAATTAGAACATGCAGTTGGTGCAACATGGAAAAGTTTTGAGGATGAATGTCAGTTCAATTTGCAGATTTCATTTGATCTTGTTTAATTTGGTAGAAATCTTGACAAAATTAGCTTTCAGAGAGTATATTTTCGTTCTTTTCCTTTATCATGTCATTTGCTTAATATTGAGTTGTTATGTGGAGCATGTGTAATCATGTTAAATTAATAACCATGGTGAGAGTATAATTACTAGGTACTAAAATTAGAGAGAGTTTCTTTATTCACCCCTTTATTTGGGGATTTTAGAAGATAAGAAGTCAGGAGAGGAGGGAAAAGAGTAAAAGGATAAATGACAATTACACAATTTTGTTTAAGAAATATGGTGGTGTTTTAGATAACACACTGGAATACTGGATCCTTCGAGCTCTTTAAGAGAATGAAACTGTTTTGGATGCTTTTTGTTGGTTCACATACAGAACTGGAATAAGAATTTATTTATTTATTTATTTTTTTTATGTTATTTGGAGTGCCTGATATATATCGTCTACGCAGGTTAGTGTAGGTACTCTTTTGTCTTTCACTATTGTTGCCATATCTATACTTATAGTCAGATATGTTCCCCCCGATGAGGTGCCACTTCCATCATCGCTTCTGGAGTCAACATGTGTGGCTTCATGGGATTACAGTGCTATCGTTGACGAGTTTGATGGGGAAAGTACAGAAAAGCAAGTTGGCACCTCCAACAATGAAATTCAACCGCTACATCACCATGGGAACTTAACAGCTGGACATCCTCTGATTTTGAAGCAGTTAGCTGAATGCAGTAGTAAGTTTAGAATATTCTACTTTAATTTAGAATTTTCTCAAAATTAGTAAGACTGAAGACCTTAATAATTTTGATAACCAAATATTTTATTCCGAAGAGAAGAAAAGGACAGTTCAATGTTGGTGCCCCTCTTGATGGTAGTAAGGTTATTCTCTTATTCTCATGTTAAACCTTTAGCTATGGAAACAAGCTTTATAACATTAACATAATTATTAAATACCTCCTCTGTTACACTAAAATTGCAACACCTATGTTGGCTCAATAGTTTACGCAATAGGAGAGAAAACAATTGGGTTGCTAACCCATGTGATTATACAATTAAAATTTATTTTAAGGAAGATAGGAAGGGGGGTGAGGAAGAACAAATGGGCCAACGATAAGAGATATGTAACAGAGTTAAAACAGAGAAGCCAAACTGTTTTTAGCACCAAAATTTAGCAACAGACATTCTGGTATTCTGTTTTGACTGTCTATGTCCCTGAATTCCAGCGATTGTTTGCTTGAAGAGTTCTTATGATTGGTTTAAACTGATACTTGTTTATGTAGAGGAGAAACAATCGTATTCCAGAGAAAAAGAAAAGGATAAAGACTCATTTAGTCAATGTAAGAATCTGTTACAGAATTCAATTTTTCTATCTCTATTCTTGCTATAATTGCCATTAACATGGAATTAATAAGCAGTTGAACTTATCTCTTGCTTCACCCAAGTATGAGTAAAGCTGTAAAAGTTACCAAAAAGGGAAGTGTTGCAATTTTTAGCAAATACAAAGTATAGACAAATTTAGGCAGCAGTATCAGTTTAAAATTAAACCTCATGGGTGCTGCTAATATTTTCGTTTGTAAAAAATGTAAATTTTATGTGTAAACTATTCTAATATGTTGATGATTATTGTCTAAAACTAAAATCACCTTGCTACCATAAAAGATTTCAGTACATTGTTACTATGTTACTAATGTTTGGCCTTGTTGTATAATTTCCTTTAACACTGTGTTTGGATAGAACTTTTGGAAGGAAAGGGAGGGGAAGGAAGATGAAGGAAGGGGAGGGGTGAAGAAAACCAAATCCCTCATTTGGATAGCAGAGTAAATGAAATAAGAGAAAGTGAGGGAATTTGCTTGTTCTTGTGAATTTTACCCATGGCTGAACTAATGATTTTGTTCTTGAGATATTATGTATTGAAATTCTCAATTTTTCGAAATAAAAAATTCACATATCAAAATTTCTAAATATAAAATTCTGGAAATATAAATTCGTACATATAAATTTTCCAAAACACAAAAAACCTGTAAATCATTTCTCAGTCGATTTTCCAACAAAATTTTCAGAAAATTGATTTTTGAAAATTAAAACCAAAATTTCTGAAAATTGATTTTCGAAAATCAAAACAAATTGGTTATAGAAAAAGAAGAACACATTTTCTAAAAATTGATTTTCGTTTGTTAAAACCTTTTTTTTTTCCAGAAAATTGATTTTTGAAGAACCATAACTCAATTTTGGATATGGGGCAATTGATGTGGTGGAGGCTACAAACAGCAGGTTTAGGGTCGGTGCTGGAGAGATTTGTTCAGTTTTCCTTCCAAATCTTCTCTAATTTGGAAAGATTTGTTTCTTAATTGTGGAAGGAAATTATTTCCTCTCATTTCTCTTCCTCCCAATTCCCTCAACTCCCATCTTTCCTATCCAAATGGAGGAAAATTCATCCCTTCCTTTCCCTTCTCTTCCCTTCCCTCCATCTCTCTGCATCCAAACAAACTGTAAATGTAAGAAGTCATATGTCCAGCCTCTTTATTTCAAATATTGTTATTGCTATCTTGTTAATTCTCTTATTTACTTCCAGATATTTCACATGCACATGATGAGAAGAGGCGGAGAATTGCTGGTTGGGCCATAATGCTTACATGTCTGGGGGCATTTTTCCTCACAATTGCAGCTTCATACGTGGGGCTTACCAGGTTTGTAATTTGGAATTGGGGGCGGGAGGTTTGACATCTTGAATATAGTTTATTAGTCTTTCTCTAGAGCATAAAAAAGATGTAGGCAATTCACTTACCCTTCAATGTTTAAAGGCTTCATAATAATGAATTAATGATTAGAGGGATAAGGTAACCTGTATGCCATTCTATTAATTTATGTGGCATTATCTTGGAATTTCTCTTTCGTTTGTTGCTTTTCAGTTAATGATCTTAGATCTACTGTGTCAATTTAGCTTGCTTTGATAGATATTTACATGCCTCCTTTTGTATACATGATTGATAAAAAATTAGTTATACATCGTCACCAAGATGCCTGTGCTTGATATGGAAGGTTTAGATTGAAAAACCCCATCATGTCTTTGGGCTGCCATTTGTTAAAATTTTATCAGCAAAATCAACAAATATCATGCAATCCAGGGTGCAGCTTACAAGTCAACAACAATTACCAGCCAAATTCAATGTCTTCTTTCCTTAGCCTACTTGGACCTCTTAGTCTCTTACACTTCTTTCTTGTTTTGCGTCTGGACCCCACACTCCCAAATAAGAAAAGAGGATCATTAAAGGCACTCTTAAATCTTAATGTGTGAGATGTGTAGTTAAGTTAGATGATTCTTGAACAAAAGCTAGAGCTTTTGTATCAAGTGGAGGTATTGGTATGAACATGCTACAAATCAGCAAATGTGATAAAATTTCATTTTAAAGCTTTGTTGAATGGATTCGTCCTGTATACTTTTCTTTAATAAGGGCCTAAGGCTTATACGTCGGAACATGAGAGTTGTTCATGAAAACTTCACTGTCTAGGGCTGTGCCCCTATTCGTTCTGCATAAAATGATAATTTAAAGAGATTATAATACAAGAAAAAAAAAGGCTAATTGTAATGTTTAGACCAGTAATATATTAATTGAAATACATATCAAATTCATGTTATTGTAATCTTAATTTAATTTGGTGCTTTTTTCTCCAGTATACCCTGCTTCACATTATTTGTGGTGGGTTTTGCACTTCTTATATCCAGTTTGATAGTTCTCTCATGTATTAATCAAGATGACGCAAGGCACAGCTTTGGTCACGCAGGAGGTACTTTAACCTTGCTATTGAGGGGATTATTATTTTTATTTTAATCTGTGAACACTCAACTCACCACGAGTCAGGGTATTTAGCTCTCGTTGAATAATTTTATTGTGCACTTATGGCATGTACTTTTAATTGTTTCAGGTTTCTTCTGTCCATTGATCCCTGTGCTACCTGTTGCTTCCATTCTCATCAATATGTATTTGCTGGTGAATCTTGGGTGAGTGTATTTTAACATTACCTCCTATAATTCTACCTGAAATGTCTGCTAGTTCATTGAACATGCATTAGTGCATTATTATGGACCATTTGGTGCAAGATCATAAATTGAGCTTGTTAATGAGTACAGTGTGTGTAATTTGTACATCAAGTGCCATGATAATTCATCTCAACCCCAAGCATGAGTACCATTCATCATTGTGTGTGGAATGTGTACGTCAAATGCTTAATTTAGTTCTTTTTTCGTGGTTTTCTTACCTTAATCTCCAACCCCATATTCAAAATTATCAATTTGTGAAAAAATTGTTGTTATTATATTAATTTTCACGTAGTTTTTTTAAAGTGGGGTTGAAAATAAATTTGGTATCGAGATATAGCAAAATAAAAGGAGATGACACATTAATTTAAATTTTAAAATGGCAAAATTAGTTTTAAAAAATACAATAACGGATTGAATTAGGAAATTTGAAGACTTTGTCAGAGAAAAAAAAATACTTCCTCCGTTACATATTATTTGCAACGATTTGACATAAAGTAGAGAGGGAAAATGTCTAATCGTTGCAAATAATATGTAACGGAGGTAGTAGATATTTTGGTCTAAATGTTGCCTGAGGTTTTTTTTTATTTTTTTTAACCAAATTGTCGTTTGGAGTTAACTTTTTTTACCGTAATGTCGCCGTTATTTTTTTACCAAATTGTCACTAGGGGTCTTTTTTATTTACCAATTTGGTCAATTGGCTGGCTATGCCATACACTCTATACCAACTTTGTTTTATGATTTTCAGGGCTGCCACTTGGGTTCGAGTGCTTGTATGGATGACAATTGGAGTGCTTATTTATGCATTATATGGGAGGACTCGTAGTGAGCTACGGGATGCAGTCTATGTGCCTGCAGCGCATGCAGATAAGATCTTTCGTGGTTTGAGCAGTCATGCCTAGGCAATTATACAATATTAATTGAATGCAGGATCTAATGCATATGAAAGTAGTTCTATACACAAATATTACATGGTTTGTTGTTATTAAGTAGATGTTCGCAATGTATATACTGGTATATGATTTTGTTTGTAGCTGTTAAATTCATGTGTTGTCTGGGTTGCAAGTATCACATGGGTTTGTAAAATTTTGTGCCTTTCTTGTCCGTAATTGGAAAACCTAAAATACTTTGGGAAATGTCCCACATATTTATTTTTCCCAAGATTAAACCTTTGAATTTGATTACTATGCATTAGCCTTCTTGTTTGATTTAACACCACTTACTGTACGCAAGCACTAAGTTGTTTGTCGAAAAATATTGCAGGAGGGAAACAAAAGTCGAGGCTAGATCTATGTGCCCGGAAGGGATGGCAATGGGTGGGGTCAAATGGGAGACCTGCCCCATCCCCGATTTAGTGGGCCGAGGATGGAAGGAGGTTTGGCGGGTGATGGGGCGGGGATGGATATAAAAACTGTACCCGTCATGGGTGGTGGGGCGGGTATGATTTTTAAAGAAATCCGCCCCATCACCCGCTTCATACTATTTTTTGTAAAGGTTGAAACAAGCTAGGAAGAGCTTAGAATCTAGACTATAATAATATAACAAACATAAAATATTATATTAATAACATATTATTGTCATATAATATGTCATTATGGTAGTAGGTATGGGGTGGGTTTTAGGTGGGATAGTTTTCCAAATGGGTGGTGGTGGGGCGGGGATGGATATTAACTTGTACCCGGCAGGACGGGTATGAATGTGAATATTGTACCCAGTAGGATGGGTATGGATGTGGATATTGTACCTACCATGGATGGTGGGGTGGGGATGAGTATAAGATTTCTAGGCGGGTATGGTCGTATGGGGGTGGAGGTATCATCCTCCTCACCGACCCGCCCCATTATCATCCCTAATGTTCTGGCCAATTTTTCGTAAAAAATTTAATCTAAATAGAAAACAAAGTGTATTATCCATAACCCTTAAAAGCCCCGGGTTGGGGAATTTTTACTTTTTCACTTTTCCTTATGAATAGTGATGTTCCTCTTTTGCCCCTTTCCTTTTCATTTCCTTATGAACAGTGCCGTTCCCTTTTTGTCCTTCAAAATTTTCTTTTTTTTATTTATTTCTTTTATCGTTCCGCTTTTGCTCCCCCCCCTTTTTTTTTTCCTTTTCTTATGAACAATGTCGTTTCCTTTTTGCCATAAAATTTTTTTTTCCTTCCCAAACTTAAGCTATAACACTGAATTCTTGTGCTGGCAGGTTGTAGAGCTAGACACCTCAACTTAGGAAGTCAAGCATGTGCTGGCAGGTTTTAGAGTTGGGACACCTCAACTTAGGAAGTCAAGCAAGATTATTATCGTTAACCTTAGCTTAATTATCTGGTGTTGCAGCGGTTAGCATAATAAACATAAACAAATTTATGTAGCTTATATAACTGTATTGTAATAATAGGATAATGATTTTGGTGTTGTATTTAATTATATTTGTTTTGTTTGTAATTTTTAATATTTACTACGCTTGTAATTATATTTGTTTATATTTGTTCACTTTTTCGTGATTTTGTATGTGTTGAGTTACTCTTTGTAGGATTATCTAATTCATTTTGTTGTTCATAATAATGGATTAGTGTTATTTCTAATAGGTGACGAGGTTTTGTTTAGTTTATCGGATTGGATTCAAACTGATTAGTTGTTAATTTAATTTATATTTTATTCACCTAATATCGATTTACTTAGTTTGGAAAACTAAATTCTTAGAGGGGTGTAAGACTGTAAGCAAGTAATGAAATTGCTTTAGTTGATGTTTATTTTGCTTTGTTTACTTAAAGACTGTGTTTGGGAGATCCAAGTGAGTTGCAATCGATTGTTTAGTGGTTATTCAGCGGTTAACTGGATGTTAAGGTGAACTACGCAAACTAAGTTATTATCTAGAGAATTTTTAGGTGACTCTGCATGCTACTTCAATATGTACTTGATGGTTTTGGTGATAATGTTAGCGTACATAAAAGCCAATGCTACTACAGTGTTTAATTACCAAAACAATGGCAGAAAAAAAACAGAGAGAGGGAAATAGGAATAGGTAAGAAATCTTCAGAGGTATTCTTTAGTGGTTTTCTGGTTTAAATCAAACTAAATGTTGAATTGTTATGATATAATGTGCACTAATTTGTCTGAAATTGCTTTGTATTTTATAAACACAATATTGTACTAAACCTTGATACAAAGCACTGGACATTATACAAATACATCATTGATAACCTTGTACTGATTTGGACTTACAATCTGGACTCTTGATTAGTGTCGTTTAAGTAATTTGGTTGTTAAAATGGTTACAAGTGTAGTTGTTCTTTATTGTGCAGTGTTTTGGTTCTTAGAGTTTTACATTTAATTACAGGTGAATTCTAATTTGGTGTCCATGGCTAGCTTTAAACTACACTCTACTATTCTGGGTGTGGCCTTTTGGAGCAAAAAAAACTGTGATTTACTTCGTTTGGATTTCTTAAGGCTATGGATGGACAATCTTAAAAATGATGTTATATTGTTCTGTTTTTCATGTTTATGTTTGGCATTGATATGTCCAAAGACCCATAAGTTGTTCAAATCACTTAATTAGAATGAAGATTATTATTGTATCCAAATTGTACCGTTGATTCATTTTGCTGTGTTATGTATGTTGATACCTACATGTTTAAATTAGATTCATTTTGATGTGTTATGTATGTTGATTTGATTTGTAAAGCAATATATAACTGTTGATCCTGATTGCTATCAAATACACTTATGTTTAGGATCTAATATATTAAAACAATATACACTTGTATTAAAACAATATACACTTATGTTTTGATTTACAAATGTATTAAAACATGTATTTGATCCTGAGAATGTATTGAATACTATATCATACAAAGACATTTATCGTTTTAATGAATGTTGTATGTTCAAAATAACATTATTTTGTTTAAGCATGTATTGTTGTGAATGAATCTGCTGATTTTGTATGTTGTTTCCTTTTAGTTTGGTCTTAGCGTAAAACATATGCATGTTGATTTTATGTGTTGTAGTGCTTTTAAGGTGTTAGGAGGTCTTAGTTTTGTTTGTTTTTAGCTATCATATATGTCTGATGACTTTGTTGTTATCTATGGAGTCATAGTAGAGACTCTTGTGTTTTAAAGGTGCTGGGAGGTTAATATAGTGAGGAAATTAGTGTATTTGTAAGCCTTGCTAGAATGTTAGAGTTGCAAAGTAGATTTCTCACTTGCTCTGATGATGCCCTGTAGTAGCTTAGCTTCAAATGGTATATATTGATCATGCCCACATGTCATGGTGTCTGAACCGTTGAAAGTTACCATTTCTTTTCAGTGCTTGTTGAATTAGGTTATTGGTTTCCTGAAAGTTAGCAACTTCTACTTATAGCTTCGCCGGTGAATATGGGAATGTAGTTGACCTTTCTCTTGTTACTTAGTGTATTCTTTCCTCTTATATATTTGAAGGTGGTCTTAATGTAACCCTTGATGCCTCTCGTGAAAAGGCTGTTAAACAAGCTGTTCACTTTTTACGGGCAGAATATAGGCTGCAAGTTGATGATCTTACTACAGATGTGTAGACACCATTTGTGTCTCCCAAAAACCAAACCCAGTGATGAGTACCTTTCACGTCAAATCATAATCGAATGAAGTGAAAGTGTGGAAAGTCTAGTGTTGCAGTTAGTTTTTATTTCTTTTCTTTCTCTCTGTTTTTGAAAACCTATTTTAAGAAAATAAGCAATCCAGTTTGGTTTGGTCCATGGAAAGGGTCCAATAATAGTGTAGTTGGGTCGGGTTCGAAAAGAGCTTTCCAACGATATATTATAAGCCCAATTCCGATGAATAATGAGGAAGTTATGGCCAAATTACTAAACTGGGCCCGATTTAATATTTATATGCGGCCCAATGATTTAGAGGAGAGCCTATTATGGTTTATCATTCCTAATGTGATTAGGATTGATTATAGTCTTCTAGAATCTTCTAGAAGGTTCTTTTCATTCCTTATTTAGTTAGCATTGATAAATTGACTTTAGTTGACTTTTAAGAGTTTTAATCAGAATAAAAGAAGTGTTTTTAAGGAATATACAATTTTGCCCTCTCGTACGCTTAAATTTTATCAAAATAAGAAAACGCGTGGAAAACTGGTTTGCGGCGCCATACGACAGACCTGGCGTCTGGCGACAACCCTGTCGTCTTGCGACAGGCGCGTGTTTAGTGCTGCGTCGTGTTTTATTCTTTTCAAAACTCCGATTCTTTTTTTATCATATCTGGATTGTTTTCATTATAAATAGCGTCCTTAGACCTTCATCAATTCTCATCAATTCTGTAACACCCCAATAATTCTCTCTTAAAAATCTGTGAGAAACCTGTATATAACCTGAACAATTTCAAGAGAATTACTGGCGTGCTACCGCCACGTGTTCAAACGTTAAGACTCTTAGAAATTAGCAGCGGAAAACCAAAACAGTTATGAATAAACTTCAAAACAAAAGGATTAAATCAAAATAAGTGTTACAAGTTGGAACCATTAAGGCCCTTATTCAAAACCCAATAAAAGTAGTAAGTAATTAAATCCAGTGTTCGAATAAATTCAAACCCAAAAGAAATGTGTCAAATAAAATCGAATTAAAATAAATTCAAACTTGCAAAAGAAATAAAATGCAAACAACCAACTCTCTACTCAAGATCTGATGAATGCTGCATGTGTAAGAACCCGTGGTTATTCTGCTCCCCAATATTACAAGTGTTAAAATTGGATCGTCACAGGGTCATTGAAAGGCGAAGGCCATGACCAAAGAAAGACACACACAAAAGCACGCAGTCAGCAAAGCTGAGTACATACAAGCTGCGAAATAAATTAAGAAAATACCTAACATGCTACTAATAATTAAGCATAAGCATCATTAAATACAGACTCAACTCATGACTCAATTATCAAATTTATTAAGACCTCACTAATTGATATTAACTGATCATTTATTTATTTCATTGGATTTAGCAATAGACAAGGTTGTCCAACCCATGTCCCATTTGGAACATCAATAAAAGAAAAACCCCATGCCTCCTTTCGGAAACATCAATAAACATCCAACGACCACGGGTGCGACTCCGTGACCGTAGTTAGTATGAGATCTCACCTAACTCCTAGTTTTAGAAAAATAATATTTGAAATAGGAGACTCGTAGATCAGACGGCCTCGATAAAAGTACACGGCTAATACCCCATGTACCCCAACCCTTGATTGTCAT